TAGACCACTTTCCTGTCCTCTGAATCATAGCCCCAGAATCATAGCTGGGGCTGCATCAAAAGACCATCCACATTTAAAGCTCCCTGCAAAACTTTCACTAATAATATTATAAGGATGTTATAATTGTTTTCAATTAACTTTTGCATAAGTGATCTTGGCAGTCAAATACAATGGTTGAACTCATAGTTTTTGAAACTAACTCATCCTTTTTGTCGTGTCTCCTCTCCTTGTCTTTGTCTCTCTCACATTTGCAGGGGGTTTTCCAAGCTACAGTCCTGGAATTTCTGGAACCCGTCCCCTTGTCTCCACTATTATTTCTACCTCTGGGAAAACAACTGCAGACAGCAAAGTATCTCACAGGAAAAGTAAAGTCATTATATTGCCAATACTGGCTAGATGTTTCTTTCAGTTCTCAATATTTTCCTTTAGATCTTTTTAATAATACAGATGTCCACTCCCCATATCAGCTGAACCAGGTCCTTTTGATACTTAGTTGATTATCATTGACCTACTAATATTTTTAAAGTGTAAGATTCCTTCTCTTGAAACTATTTTTTTTTCTTACAAATTCTTAGCCCTTTTATTAAAGGCTTTGTCAGGGTAAATTAGTTTCTTGTTTAGCAAATATTCACTCTTTCCTTCACTTGGAGCTTGGCAATATTGCTTGCTTTGGCCTGTGGGGTGTTACTGGGTGTGATGTGAGCAGAGGCTTTAAAACTGTGCTCGTGTCCTGGGCTTGTCCTCCTGTACTTCAGCCATGACAGTGAAACCATACAATGAAAATAACATACTCTGGGTAGAACTGTCCTACCCTCTGGGCCTGAGAATGAAGTATGTGAAGCAGAGATGCCCCGGGTAACCTGGTCATCTTCAGCCTGAAGCAGCTGGTCTAGCCAACCAGGAAACACTTACAGTAGAAATAAGTGCTTATTGTTACATGCCACTGATTTTGTGGTTATAGGTTATACACCAAAAAATTGACTGTTATATGGAATAATAGTAAATAGTAGACCAAGCTCTACCCTTCCCTAGTTGAGCTAGAATATCTGTATCTGTAAAATGAGAGGTTTGCATTCACTGAAACCCCAGTTGCTTAACAAGATTTAAACTCATGATTCTTGAGTATGCCACTTCCCAGAAAATAGGTCAAAATATAACTGCTGTGAAATGAATACTAGAGAAGAATGGAGTGGAAAGACATTCTAGAACCTCCCTGATTAATTTTATTTTCTAAAGCAGAGAGAATGGGATTTGTTTGGATGGTGTTCTGTATAAATTTTGAAGGGTCTGCTGAAGGGAAGAAGTGTGTCAGGAGAGGAGGTGACCATGCCAGGTGGCTGCAGAGGACCCAGAGGGTAAAATGCTACCTTTTTAATAAGTCAGCCTTCAGGGAACTAGACTGATAGATCACATGCAGATTCTACTCACTCTGAACTCTCTAAGAACAGAGTATGTTCAGTACCTGCCGTAAGACAGTATTCAACATATGATGGGGAAGAGTAACAAGACTGAGTGGAAAATGGAAACTAAGCAGTGTTAAAATGGGAAATTTCTTTTTCTCTCCTTGCTTTTGCTTGAGTGATTTTACTCTTCATATAAGAGATTCCCTTTGCATGAAAGGCTAGACTGTGCCATATCTAAGCTCCTCCTTGACCCTAAAATACCATGACATCATACAAGACTGATTTTATTTGAAGCATTCACGTGTAAGAACTTCAGTGACCTCTAAGTTAATGGCAGGCACTTTAAGAGCTCTAACACCACTTAACTTACCTTCTGGGGGAAAAAAAGCGCAGAAATCTCTTTAAATACCTTTTGTACCTTTATTAGACACTAAAAAATTTCCTTTGGCCTCAGATATCCTCTAGTTATTCAATTGTAGTTTGAATGTATGCCAAAGACGCATTTCCACAAGAACAATGTATTTCTAAAAGTAAATCTGCTAATTAGCAAATTTAATACATTTATTTATAATAGAATTATTTTTCAGGAGGATTTTAAAATATAAGTTAAAATTTGTCATTTAGGCAATACTTTTAAAGAAGGAAATGTTCTTACGCAACATGACTGAAATGCTCTGGGGAGCTCTGAAATTATTTTTTCATTAAATAGAGCTGAAATTATGTGAACACCTAGAATATGAGGAAGAAAAGAGGAAAACAAAGTAGAGAACACCGGGGAATGGGAAAATAGACTGCAAAAGTAACAGTGATTTGTTCAAGGTTACCCAGTGAGTCAGGAACAGAGGAGAGAGTTGGGTCTATGCCAAGACTCAAAGCATATATACAATAATGGCTATGTGCTGAATCTGCCATTTTCTCCAGATGATACATTCATATTTCTTCCATATAGAGGAAGATAGTCATACTTACTATTCTTACCATTACGTCTACTCTCTAGCTCATGTTACTTTGTGCTTATTAAATAAAATGATAAATAAATAAAATCCTATCAATCAGAAGTTTACAAAGCATGGTTTCACATATATTATCTCATTGGGTCCTTACAACTATCTCTGAGGTAGGTACTATAATTCCTGTTTTATAGATTCATTTAGGTCCAGACAAGTACAATAAATTTTGCAAGAACACACTGCTATGAAAACTGGGGTGTTTTCACAATACCAAGCAGCTCAGCAAACCTCTCTAAAAGATCCTACTCTTAAGGAAACTTAAAAGGGTTTTACATTACATATGAAAAAGTAGAAAAAAAAGTGTTTTTTGAAGAACTCAAAGTCAGACATAAAGTTGATACTTAGGGAAATGGGAGCAATTTGATCAATTGTTATATATGGCTGATTGTCCTAGCAAATTAGTTGGGATACCAATGGATCATGTCTGTAGAGATCCTTAGATTCTACTGATATATTATTTGTACATGAGGCCATCTAGCAGTTAAGCCATGAGAACTCTACCAGAAGGCTTTGAAATTATAGAGATCAACCACAAGAAAGGAGTTGTATTTACAAAATCAAGTCTCTGGGCTCCTTGTCTGCTTCTTCAAAGCACTGCCCATCTGCTTTGTCAATGGACATAAATATGGAGATTTTCTGTAGTAAAAACATATAATTCCTTAATAAATACATAGATCCCTGCTCCCAGGGTACTGAGGCATTAGTGACAAGCAGTCTTCCACTCAAAGATGCATGTCGTGAGGAGAAAGTAAGCAAACTTTATCCCAAACTGAGAGGCAGAAAATTATGGAGGGAAGGAAGAAACATAAGGAGCAGCAATGATAGGAGTTAAGATCTCAAACCCTATAGCCATCCTATCCAGGTTCACTTGGCTCTATGCAACCTTGAGCAAGTTATTTAACTTTGTAATGACTCAGTTTCCTCATCTGTAAAATGTACAATAATATATATTTCATTTGGGTTGTTATAAGGATTAAATGAGTAAGTATTTGTTAAATGCATAAAACAGTGCTGCGTATATGGTAATCTCAATGTTAAGTAAAGGAAAGTAGGAAGAGTGAGAGATAGAATAATGATATTATGTGTCTTTAATGCATTGCTCTGCTAAAGGAGTCCTTTACTTCCCACAGCTGAGCCTCTTGATTCCTACCAGTAAACATAACCCTATTTTGGGTCTCACCCTAAACAACTCTTACTCAGAAAGATTTAAGAAGCTCTAGGTCAGTCGTTCAGGTGATTCAGCATTAAGTCAAGCTTGCTGTTATTCTTGTCCTGAGCCTGTGTCCCAGTTTTAGTTATTTGTTCCTGTAATCGAATCCCAGCCTTGTACCCCAGTTCCAGCATTCTGCTCCCTGTGGCTGTGTCCTGGCTTGCAGAACCTGCTCAGAACCTCCGATTCCTTTGAGGCAGACATCTCTCAAGGGGCAGCTTCTGGATTAGACACATTTTGTTTGGCACACACAATGTTTGAACTTTTGAAAATTAGTTGTCTGTATTTAAAAATTGCAAACTTTTACATGACTATTCAAATTTCCATCTTCTCTTGAAAAACTGAATAATCGGGTAATACTGGTCCCCATTTCCCATTGATACTAACCCACTGGAACCAAGTGGCAGCTGCCCCCTTTGGAAGGCTTCCTGCTCCATTTGTTTCTGTGATTTGCTTGGCCCTAACAGGCAGTTGAGGTTGGGGTCTAAGATTAAAAATAGCCTGTATTTACCAAGCACTTACTTTGTGCCAGCTACTCTTCTAAGTACTCCATATGCTTTACTCATTTAATCAAAGGCCAGGCTCTTGCCCATTGTCCCTGAAGCCCTCCTTCTCGCTTCAAACTCTCTGCATGTGTGTACTTGTGTCTCTCCTATCTTCTGAAGTCACAATCCCCTACTCATCTGCTAGGGCCACTCAGAAAGCCTTGTTCCATAATGTCAACCACTCACCCATATTGTGGCTATTGTCACTCTCCAATTTCCTCTAACCAGCCAGCCTGTGATATCAAGAATTTTAACCATTGTAGTAGCTGTATTTCTCGTACAGAACCCCAGACTTTGCTGATCTGCTCGCCAGATCCTATTATATCATGTTCCATGCTTTTACAAAACCATGCATTTCATTATATATAGACTTTACCCTAACAAAACTCTTACTCCAGTTTTGTTAGAAGTCCAGCAAAATCCATCAGCTACTTATCGATCATTTTACTTATGTTCTAGGCTTTGTCACAGAAATTGATTTGATTATTCCTTTATTAAGAAACCCAAAGAAGTTTGATTTTCTCTTCTATGAGCAACTCAATTTCTTTTAAGTGAACCACCTAGAAAACTAACAAAATTTCAACATGATCAGCTATGGTTTTTCTGGTGATAGGTCCTTGAGCTTTACAAAACAATGAATGAAAGAGGAAAATATTTGTATGACTAAGCTGAGTTTTAGCAAATATCAAAATAAAGTTCACAAAACTCATTCTACACATCATTTCATAAGATCACCTGTATTGGGTAAAACTAAATATGTACTGATTTTAAATTCAGCTGATTAAGTTCTACCATAGTTTTTAAAGAAAGTCTTAATAAAAGTGTTACTTACATAAGGAATCGTATCCAAAGTATCTGTGTTCACAATTATAGGAGCAGGGCTGGCCTATAAAAGAGAAGTAGAAGAAAAATTTTAAATAACAAGTACAACTGACCTTTGACCAATGGGAGGCAAACACCTTCCTCTTGTGCAGATGAAAATCCACATATAACTTTTGAGTCCCCAAAAACCTACCTACTAATAGCCTACTGTTCACTGGAAGCCTTACCAATAACAGAAAGTCAATCAATACATATCTTGTATGTTATTTTATATACTGTATTCTTACAATAAAGTAAGCTTGAGGAATAATTATTTTTTCAAATTGTTGCAAATCTCCAAATTTTTCCAATGTATTTATTGAAAGAAACGTGCATAAAAGTGGACCTGCCAGTTCACACCTGTGTTGCTCAAGGGTCAACAGCAGTGTACTCTGAAATAGAACTGTGACCTTAATTAACAAAGAGCTCAGCAGTATTTCTTGAGGACCTGGAGAGGCACTGTTTCAGGTCTGTGGGGGGGTGGGGGGGGAAAAATGAATGACTCAGAATTCCCTGCACCCTCCTCCTCCCTTCAAATATTTGTTTGCTACATTTACCACATAATGAAATGAAGTCAGCAATAGAACTTACACATATTTTCTCTTAAATTCTACACAACAGTGTAGGAGGTGAGGATTTGTGCTGAGTATGAAGTAAGAATTTCTAATAAATTGGGTGAGAGTTAAAATTTGTAACATTTCTTTTTAAAACAGCTATGGCAAAGAAATTTGATTTCCCTCTCACAGATGCAAAATTAAACCTACACCAATATTTATAGCTCTTCTCTTCAAACTGCTTCTTGAGAGTTATGTTGTATTCAATCCAAAATTGAAGAGTTCACACATCTTAAGTATGTTTACCTATTATGCATGCAGTATCCTATCTTTGTCATTTATATAGCTCTAATCACATACCTTAAAAATCCTTGGATAGGGAATTAAAAATTAGTCAAAGACGCAGAAAATCATGTTGGGTATGCTAAACTTTCTTTTTTAAAAAGTGTGTACAAACTGCAGTCATTTCCTTTAAAATTTAGCGGGTTTCTGTGCAAAGCTGATATAGGAATGCTACAAGCCAAGTCATTAGAAAATGAGAGATTGCAATCTCTATTTGCATCAACCAATCTGATTTCATGAATATTCAGTAGACCTAGCTTTATTTTCTAGTTTCTAGAATTTTCACAGGAACTTTTCCTTCATCCCCCAAAGGATATTTAATCTCCTTCCCAAATTGCAGATTTCATTTAGATAGAGGAAAGGCTCTCATCATGATTAATCGAGAGCTGTCCTACACAACACGGTGGTTTTGGCAACTATTCAAGCTTTGGGGACATTTCATTAGCTGCGCCCTCTGGAGTTAACAGAGTTAACAGCTTTTTGATGTCAATCTGTGCCTATGGAATCCTAATCGAATGAAAAAGCAAATGGCACTCAAGCAGATTTTACAAAATGAAATTCCATGTTTTAACTAGAAACACTGGGCATTGAGAACATGGCCGTGGGTCAACATATCTACATAGTGGGTCACCCAGCTATTTATGGTTCATTAGTTAATTCCTAAAGCAAGTATCCTGTGCATAAATCAGGGCTTTGGAGAAAGATAGTTTACACTGGACCCCACAAAACAATAGTGCCTATTAAAAGGCATGTGGTGAAGGGTGAGGAACATGAGGTTTGGAGGCAGAAGACCTGGGCTCAAGAATGGTTTAGCAATTGGTTATGATTTGGCGCTGAGCAATTTCCTGATGTTTGGATCTGGGGGACAAGTCAGCTATAACCTTTGCCCCATTTTCCTTCTCAGTAGAATGAAAATCAAAATGATCACCTTCTGAAAAGGTTGTTTGAAGAATAAATAAGGTGATATGTTTTAATGTTCTTTGTAAACTTAAATTTCAAAATCAACATTAAATATTATTACCAGTTAGTGCCCCTTAAGATGGGCTATAGAAAGGATACCTTATTGGATGCTTTGTGAACTGCTTATACTCCAGAATTTGTTGTGAATGGCAACAATTGCACTAAAGAGAACTGATCAGCATGTGTGAATTATCATTTATTATCATTTATTAAATGCCTATTATTTGTCCATGTATAAGGATATACATATAAACCCTCATTTAATCTCTACAAAATAATATTGATCAGGCATTATTATCACTATACTTACATAATAGATGAAAAAATTGGGGCTCAGGGAAAATGAGAGCTGAGATTTAACACTGGCTTTTCTGACCTCAAAACCCATTTTTCCACAGTAAGCTGCTCCAGTATTTAGGTGGCTCTATCACAGGAGGCCAGCAGTGACTGGAGATCTCCAGCCAGAGCAGCATATAAGATCCAGGCAAAGCAAAGATCACCCTACAGGCAAAAGATACCTCAGGGTCCTGCACAGTAGCTGTTGAAAGCAATCTGGTGATGCTTGAATGTTTTCTGTTATTTGTTTTTTAGTTTTGATGATGTCTCTTTTAAGCTTTCCATTTGGTTACCAGGACTCCCAAAAACATTTGTGCCATGTCTCCTTGAATAGACTGAAAACTTTCTGAGTATCATACCCAATACTTGTATTTCCTCTTATTATCTAGTACAGTTTGATCAATAAACATGCATTCATTTTATTTGAGACTTTCAACCCGTTGTACCTTTGTTTTTTGCCTTATAGACTGCATTGATGTGGTCTGGGGATAAATTTTATACATAAGCCCATTTCCTAAACAATGCCATTTATCACATTTTGTAAGTTTATGTTGCTATTTTCCACTTCAGGTTTATAAATTTGGTCTTTACAATCAGACTCTATGATTAAAAAATGGCAAGGATTATATACTTTCCTAGAATTCTTCATAGCACTTGGGTACACAGAAAGAACTCAGTAAATACTTAGGAATTATTAACTAAATATAGCCATAAATATAGGTGAGGGTACACCTCTTTGAAAACTTTGAGGAGTATTTCTAAGATAACCCCAAAATTTCTTATGTTACCAACAAGACTGTGATTACTTTTCCAGTATCCACTATCCCTTCTTTCTTTCATCAGTCACTATCACTTAATTATCCAGCTTTTTGAAATAATAATTATTTCATAGCAACAGGATGTTGAAACTCTAAGTCCTGGAGTATAATCTACAATGTTTCATACAATCTACACTGCATCTACAAAGTACAAAGTCATGTGGAAAGTTCAGTGTTTCTTCTTGGTGCTAAAAAGATTCAGAAGCCACAAACAATACTTACATAGCTATAAGTTACTTAAAATGCATGAAAAAACAGAACGTGTGGATTGTGTGAACACACAAACACCCCTCACATACACTGACACTGACAACTCTCTGGAATGAATGCCCAGGAGAAGGCGTGGGAGCTGTGAAGAGCACGTGATCCCAGGGCCCTGCTGCAGCCAGCTCTTTGAAGATCCCTCACTGCTCTGTGCCAGGACCCTCAGAGTCCTCCCCAGATTGTTTTCACAGATGCTTCTTGGACTCTTTTACCTTCTCAATGGCACACATCGGGAGGGAATAAAACTCCCAGTTGGGGGTAGCACAGAGTGCAGTAGAACTCCAAATATGGCTCATGAATCGGCTCTTCTCATCTCTTGGTCATTTCAGACCTCCCCTTCGCTCAGACTAGCCCCTGTGTCTTTCCTAACTTTTCCAATCATGTGGGTCCATACCTAACTTGATCCAGTTTGGTTTCTGAGTCTTAAAACTAATTCCCTGGTTACTTTGATGGTTCCTTCTAAGCTTTATCTCCACACTTCACACTGCCCTGCTGTACATATCTTTTCTATCCACGTTGGATAAATTCTTTAACTGAACCCCTAAATCAAACTGGTGCCTCAGCAGATTCCTGTGTCCCCTTTCAATATGCTAAATTCCATAACTAGAAAGAGATTTTTAACAAATATTAAAACATCTCCTTCTATTAAGAAGCTTCAAGGCTTGTCTTTATAGTTTCAAAAATCTTTACCTGGATTTACATAAAGGCTTAAGAAAACTAATCTCTCTTGGGCAACCTAAACTATAAGATGTAAATGGCTTGCCTTTTGTATTACATTCTTTTCCATGTGGGGAAACCAGCTTAGAACAAGAGAAAAGAATAAAGGTAATCATAGAAAAGCTCTGGCAAGCGGATAGAATACTGACAAAACTTAAACTATTAGATCAAGTTATTCATTAATTCCAGCCACCTTCCTGTTCTTGGCTTCCATGGGACACCCAGATATCTTTATAGCACGTCAATAACTTTGCTCATGGTAGTAAAAGATACACTTCTGGTGCTTGCTATCAAGAGAGTGTCACTAATGAAGAATCTGACATAATGAATGCACATTTTGAAAGGAGTTCACTGATTCTGACTGGTGTGGTTACTTCTCGGTGTTTGTTAAGTGTCAGATCTGAGAAATAACTCTTATGTAAACGGGAGGATGCTTACCAGGCCAGCTACAGTGAGCTCTTTAAGGAAGGTATTAGCAGGTGAGGTTTGGTGGCCAGTCAGCCAAATACACCCTCTGGGAAGCTTAAGTCAAAGTGCAGATAAACCAACGGGAACATAAAAAGACTGACTCTAGGCCTGTACCTAAACTTTAAAGAAACAAAGCAGAAAGGGAGAGAAAACCACATTGTATCAAGGGATCTAGGTACAATAGGAGCAGAACAGTAACACTGATACGGCTATGAATTGTGCAGATTTCAAATGACCTGGGACCTGCAGCAAGCAAAGGCAGGCGGGTGTCCGTAGGCCAGATTAAACAGGAGGTAACATACGGCAAGAATAATATGAGAGCTGCTTTTAGGGCCTAGTGCCATTGACTTATCTTCTTAGCCTTAAAGGATAAGGCTCCTGAGTGGGCAACAAGGAACGTGGGCCCTAAAAATGGCTTTTATATATGGCATGGCATGACACCTTGAAACAAAGTGGAAGCCATTGAAAGTTTAAAAATGAGTCCGTTTATGTATGTATATGATTTTTACAGAGAGGGCTAGAGATTCCAGAACCTCAAGGTAAATATTAAGTGGCTTAGACGGCCT